TTCTAAAAAATAAAGCATATTAAATGTTTTCAAAACCCAAGAGCTTTACATCCAAGAGCCAAAAATGTTTATCTCATAGAAGTAGAAAGCAGAATAGTAGTTACTAGAAGTTGGGAAGGGTAGTGGAAGGGAAATAGAGGATGGTTAATGGATACAAAATTACAGCTAGATAGGAGAAATAAGTTCTAGTGTTCTATGTAGTGTTCACTATAGGGTGACTATAATTAACAACAATTTATTGTATATTTTCAAATAGCTAGAAGGAGACAGACTTTGAATGTTCTCAACACAAAGAAATGATAAATATTTGAGGTGGTGAATATGCTAATTAACCTGATTTGATCATACACACTATATACATATACTAAACTATCACACTCTACCCCATAAGTGTACAATTATTGTGTGTCAATTTAAAATAATAAAACCAAAAAAACCAATCCCAGAGCTTTAGATCACCCAATTTTGTGGATTGCCTGCCCACTGTCAAGGTATAATGAGCTTTCTCAGTAGTTCTCAAACTTTTCTGATTGCAGTCAACCAAGGGTGTACAGCGAGAGTATGTAGATTCTTCCTAATCGCTAAGCAGAAAAATCATTCAGTGTAAACAACAAAATACCATTGTACAAGCATATTTAAGAGAGATTTTTGTATATATGGTAAGCAATATGTGCATTTGGTTCATGTGTGAACCACAATGCAAATGTGCCTTAAAAAGTCCAATTTTATTTATTTATTTATTTTAAGGCTGGTCAAGTGAAGCAGTGGGAGTGGAGAAGGAACAAAGGAATTTGTAACTGGCTGTGATCAATTAGTGAAAAGGCTAATTTTAGAAAATTATTGATGCACATACACATTATTACACACTGTAGGGCATTAAACTAAACTGATAATAAGAAAATAATATAATAAATCAAGATCAGTTTTTAAATTATAAATTTCAGGTAACAAACTGTTTTCGTAAAATGAGAACAACCACCATCTGATGTGCACATACATGATAGTTTTGCAATTCAGCCAGACTTCATGGAAAAATACCAAATTAGAGTCCCTAATAAAACCATAGCAGATTTTTGCCTCTGAGA